GCCTGTAATTCCGGCTACTCGGAAGGCTGAGGCAGAAGGATCGCCGGAGCCCAGCAGGTTGAGGCTGCAGTGGCCGGGAGCGGCCACTGCGCTCCAGTCTGGATGACAGAGTGAGACTCCAACACAAAAAAAAGAAACTCTGAAAGGTCCTTTAATACCCCACTGCAGAAGGGCTGTTTACATTAACTCACTTATGACCACTGATATGAATTTACATCTTTCCAAATTCTGTTCCTGGTTGCAACTGACATTCATTTACTTCATCATGGAAAACTCTTTTTGGGTTTATAATCCAAATAAAAATACAAAGTACAGAACGCTAGTCAAAGTGGTACGTGAGGCAAATGCTAGATATGACTGTAACTTTTAGCTGTATTGTGAAAAAGGTGACAATTTATTTTTTATTATTTTTATTTTTTTGAGATGAAGTCTCACTCTGTCACCCAGGCTGGAGTGCAATGGCATGCTCACGGCCACGGCAGTCTCAACCTGCCGGGCTCAGGCAATTCTTCCACCTCAGCCTTCCAGGTAGCTGGAACCACTGGCATGCACCAGCATGTCCAGCTGATTTTTTGACTTACTGTAGAGACAAGGTCTTGCCATGTTGCCCAGGCTGGTCTCAAACCCATGGTCTCAGGTAGTCCTCGCCCCTCAGTCTCCCAACGTGCTGGGATTACTGGCATGAGCCACTGTGCCCAGCTTAAAAAGGTGACAATATAGAAAAGACCATTTCACTTGTGTTTAACAACAAAAGTCTGCGGCAACCAGCATTAGATTATTTTTATTTTTACCCGCTCTCAGTATTAGGAAAGTGAAAAATCTGCCGGTGGTGAATATGTTAATATTCTCTGTTCCTCTGTTTATAGCTGATAAAACAGGATCAGCTTCACTACCACATGAAGACTTTTGAATAGCTATACTGAGTATCTTTCACTCATTCTGCAAAATTTGAGTGGTTGTTATCACTGGGTAAGTTAGCTGCTGGTGATAAAATGATGAGCAAGACAGGCAAAGAGATGGGCAAGACCTTTGCCACCATGGAGCTTACAATCTAATGGAAAAAACAGAACAAAAACAAGTCAGCAAAGAAAATATAGTTGTCAGAAATACTATAAAGAACACAAACATGGCCAGGTATGGTGGCTCATGCCTGTAATCTCAGCATTTTGGGAGGTGGAAGTAAGAAGGACTGCCTGAGTCTGGGGATCCAAGATCAGCCTAGACAACTTGGCGGGATCTCATCTCCACAATAAATCAAAAAACTAGCCTGGTATGGTGGCACCCATCTGTGGTTCCAGCTACTTGGAAGGCTGAGGCAGAAAGACCATCTGAGTCCAGCAGGTTGAGGCTGCAGTGGCTGTAAGCATGCCACTGCACTCCAGCCTGGGTGACAGAGTAAGACTCTAACTGAAAAAAAAAGAACACAAATACGGTGTTCAATGAGAGAATTAAAACAGTGAAAATGACCTAGGTTTTTTTGTTTTTTGTTTTTTGAGTTGGAGTCTCACTTTGTCACTCAGGCTAGAGTGTAATGGCATGCTCATGGCCACCGAAGCTTCAGCTGCTGGGCTCAGGCAATCCTTCCGCCTCAGCTTTCCAAGTAGCTGGAACCACAAGCATGTGTCACCACGCCTGGCTAGATTTTTTATTTATTGTAGAGATGAGGTCTTGCCAAGTTGCCTGGGCTGGTCTTGAACCCCTGGGCTCAGGCAATCCTCTTGTCTCCATCTCTCAAAGTGCTGGGATTATAGGCGTGAGCCACCATGCTGTGCTGAAAATGACCTAATTTTAAAGCAACCAGGGAAGTTATCTCTGAAGAGGTGAGAGCTCTGCCAGGCGCGGTGGTGGCTCACACCTGTAATCCCAGAGCTTTGGGAAGCAGAGGTGAGAGGACTGTTTGAGCCCATGGTTTAATTCCAGCCGGGGCAACAGAGAGAGACCTCGTCTCTATAATAAAAAAATTAGCCAGGCATGGTGGCACACATTTGTAGTTCCAGTTACTTAGAAGACTGAGGCAGAAAGATTGCCTGAGCACAGCAAGTTGAGGCTGCAGTGGCTGTGAGCATGTCACTGCATTCCAGTCTGAGCGACAGAGTAAGACTCCAACTCAAAAAAACAAAAGAAAGCAAAAAAAAAGCTGAGAGCTCAAGGTTAAAAAAGATAGCCACTGAAAGCAATCTGGAATGATGCCAAGAAGAAGGCACATCATGTACAAAGGTTCCAGAAGTGGGTGGGACACACTGGGTGAACTCGATTTAGGAACTGAAGAATATCAGTGTGGTCAGAACAGCATTGGGAGATAGAAAGGGATCAGACAGAACAGTGTTCTATAACCAAGGTTAAGAGTCAGAATGAAATCCAAAGTACAGTGAGATGAGATGCTATTAAAGAGTTCTAAGTAGGGGGAGTTTCATGTTATTTGTGGCTATTTGAAAAAAAAAATACATTTTTCTTCTCTATGATGGCACCACTGCACTACAGCCTGGGAGTATTTGAAAATGTTTTAATAAAATATTTCAAATATGTAAAAAAAAATGAACACTCATGTACTAGTATTATCAAATCTAAACACTATTACAAGATTCAGAATTGTTTATAATTAAAACATAAATGATATGCAACTAACGTTAAGAACTGTCTTTCCCCTAGCTTTGTTTTTTAACGTATTCAGCACAAATTCATCCCCATCCTCCCCAGCAGGGTCCTCAAATAGCATCAGGCTTTCCATCAAACCCGTTCTTCTGCAGAAGCTGCTCCAGCCTCCATCTGACCTGCTCTGGGCCACACGCACTGTCCTCTCTGCCTCGCGCACAGAGGCATCTGCCTCCCTCTTTCCCTGCTTTCCCCTCATCTTGGCAAACATTTTCAGTAATTTCCTCAGAAGTGAAATAACGACAAACTCTGAGGCACTGCATGTCTAAAAAAAGTCTTTAGCCTACCTTGACATTAATTGATAGTTTGCCAGAGTTTAGACTCCTAGATTGGAAATAATTTTCCCTTAAGACTACTGAATAGATTCCTCAATTGTTACCTGGCTTCCAGTGTTATTTTGGGAGGACTGAAACAATTTCTTTTTTTTTTTTCTTAAGAGATAAAGCTGAAGTCTAGTTTTTTAATACGGTCTATTTTTCTTGTCTAGAAGCTTTTAGACTTTCTTTTTGTCCTCAGTGACATTTTATGATCATGTCTCTTAGTGGCGATTTATTCTCATTCATTATGCTAGGAACTAACTGGCTCTCTCAATTCGGGATTGACTCTTCAATTATGGGATATTTTCTGAATTCTTTCTTTTTTTTTTTGAGTTGGAGTCTCACTCTGTCACCCAGATTGGAGTGCAGTGGCTGCTCCTGGCCACCGCAGCCTTGAGCTGCTGGTCTCTGGTGATCCTTCCGCCTCAGCCTTCCAAGTAGCTGGAACTACAGGCACGCGCAACCATGCCTGGCCAATTTTTTTTTTTTTATTTACTGTAGAGATGAGGTCTCACCAAGTTGCCCAGGCAGGTCTCAAACTCAAGGAATCAGGCAATCCACTCACCTAGCCTCCAAGTGCTGGGATGACGGGCTGAGCCACCTAGCCCGGTCTTTCTGAATTATTTCATTGCTGCTTTTCTCCTCTACTGTTCTATTAGTTATTTATCTTGAATAGTATGTTTATTAGTCCACCTAATATACACCAGTTTACTGTGCTATATCCCACTCTTTCATTGCGTTCCTCTTTTTTAGAGACAGGGTCTCACTCTGTCACCTAGACTGTAGTGTAGTGGTGTGATCATAGCTCACTGAGCCTTGAACTCCTGGACTCAGGTGATTTTCTCACCTCAGCTTCCTGCAGAGGCTCTGTGCTTCTCAGCCTCATACACTAGCTCTACCTCCTCTAATCAACCTCTAAATGCTGGGGCACCCAGGGCTTATTCCCGGGCCTCTTTCTTTATTATCAACATTTTCTGTAGACAACTTATTCAGGCTTTAAATATTACTCCTGTGCTGATGATTTCAAAATCTGTAAGTCCAGCCCTTATACTTCTCTCCAGAAATCCCACTGTCTTCTTGACAATTCCACTTGGATTGCCTAATAGGCATTTCAAGCTTAACATGGCCAAAAGTTGAATTTCACTTAAACCTGCAACTCCTTTAGTCTTCCATCTCAATAAAAAGCACCAACATTTGCCTAGTTGCGAAAACCAAAAATTTAGGAACTGTCCTTGATTCCACTCGTTCCCTCCCACTCCACAATCAATCAAGTTCTTTCTTTTTTTTTTTTGAGTTGGAGTCTCACTCTGTTGCCCAGGCTGGAGTGCAGTGGCATACTCACAGCCACCCCAGCGTCAACCTGCTGTGCTCTGGCGATCCTTCTGCCTTAGCCCTCCCAGTAGCCAGAACTACAGGCGCGCACTACCACGCCCAGCTAATTTTTTTATTTTTATTGTAGAGACGAGGTCTCGCCAAGTTGCCCAGGCTGGTCTCAAACCAGCGGTCAGGCAATCCACTTGCCTCGGCTTCCCAAAGTGCTGAGATTACAGGCTGAGCCACCGAGCCCGGCCAATCTACCAATTTCTATAGCTCTTACTTCCTAATGCATCCCAAATCCATTCTCTTTCACCTCTATTGCCACCTCTAATCTAGTACAAGGGCCACCCCACTCTCACCTATACCCCTGTAATTATCCAATTGGTATTCCAAATTCTGCCTTTGCCGTCCTAAGACCTATGCTCCACAAAGTTAGATTAATCCTAAAAAAGGCAAATCACATCACTTGCCTACTTTAAAGACTTAAACACCAAAAATTTGATTCTAACGTTTCATTCTGGTTTACAAAGCCCTATATAATCAGCTCCCGCCTATTTTTCCTCTCTGAACACATTTCACTTGCAAGAGTAAATAAGAATCTCTTAGAACATTCAGACAACTATGAAATTAACACCATTGTTTTTTGCAACAGAAAATTGCTAGATACACTATTCAACCATTCTATGTCTTCATTTCAGGGAAAGCCATAGAAAGAAATGTGCTGGAAATTCAGGAATTAAGATTTAGTTAATAGCATACACATTTTGGTATTTTATTTTTGGTTCCAATCTATTGATTTCTAATGGTTCCTACAAGCACAGAAAAATAAGAACGTGCTCCTCAGTCTCTGAGTGTCCCACCATCCCGACTACTCACCCTGTGGGCAGACACTCTTCTAGTCTCTTGTACTGGTAGCCAGAGTTAGGATTGATTTGGCCCCCTGGGGTACAGGCTGTAGCCTGGATAGTTAGCTGATGGCAGGCACACTTGGACCTGTATAAATAAGACAGAGGGAAACACAGGAAAAGTGGGGATGATCAGAGAAAACAACAACAGAAGACACATGTATGGAGGGTTACTCAGTGTGGCCATGTCAGACTCCAGCCTCCCTACCTCATGGCTTTCATGGAGGCTTATGGCAGGAGTAGGAGTTGCAGCTAACGGAAGAGGTAAAGGAAGATGGAGAAAGCAGTACAGATGCAAGGCAAAGGAAGAGTAAAAAGAAAGGAAACCATCACAGAGTTGGAGGCAAGGGTAGCAACTCCCCCACCAACTCACTTGTCCCGACATCCATCCTTGCAGTCACAGCCAACCAGAAATTCAGGACCTGTGTTAATGAAAACACCCTTGCCCGGGATACGTTCCTTGCTGTAGGCCACCTGAGGTGGGGGGGTTGTGTCAATCTCATTGACACAGGATAGGGGAACATCTTCCTTCCCATAAGTGATGTCCAAAATATAGTAAAAAGGCTTATAGGGCTGAAACTTCCGGTCCACAAGAACATATGGATCCAAACAGAACATCTCCAGGAAGAGGAAGTCACAGCCAGTCTCAAAAAGGTAGCGTTCAATCTCCTGCATTGTCCGAAGGCAGAGACCACAGGGTGTCTTATAGATAACATGAAAGCCCATCTTGCGGTTAACTCGACGACGGGCTGTCATCCGCCGAAAGTCATAGAGCAACGGGACCAACAGAGGGTTCCTGCCCCGGTACTGCTCATTCCTTATAGGTCTGATCCGAGACAGACAAGTATAGCTGCACACATGAGGTAAATAGAAAAGCTTCTCCATGGGAGCACGGTAGGAGGGCTCTGCGGGGGCACGCTCCAGCATGCCATGGAAGGCTGGCGGCGCTGCAGGGGCTGAGGGAGGTGCAGGAGTTGTTGAGCCTAAAGGTGACCTGCAAATGAGATGCAGGTGATCAGATCAGAAGGCAACAGGACCTCTCTTGTATCATTATCTTCCAGCTAGTTAAGTCATTCTCTCATCTTTCCAAAAGGCTGTGCTCTTAAAGCCAAAGATGACACGAGAAAGATCCTCCCTTTACCAAACCTGGCCAATGAAACTCCTGGTTACTCTTCACTGACTGACAGCATGATATAATTTGGATGTTGTCCCCTCCAAATCTCATGTTGAAATGTGACCCCAAGTTGGAGGTGGGACCTCATGGGAGATGCCTAGGTCATGAAGGCAGGTCCCTCATGAATGGCTTGGGGTTGTTTTTGCCATAATGAGCAAGTTCTTACTCTGTTAGTTCATGTAAGAGTTGCCTGTTTAAGATCCTGGCACCTCCTCTCTCTCTTGCTTCTACTCTCGTATGTGACACACCATCTCCTCGTGCATTCTGCCACACGTAAAAGCTTCCTGAGGCCCTACCAGAAGCCAAACAGATGCCAGCACCATGCTAAACTGTGAGCCAAATAAACATCTTTTCTTTATAAATTGCCCAGCCTCAGGTATTTCAACATAAAAATGGACTAATAATATAACAACTCTATTTAAATCATGTACCTTTTCCTACAATGTATTTGCCTGGTTACTACTTTGTTAAACTCTGGTGTGTCCATGTGGCTCTTTGAGCTATGGCCTGCATGTTTCTTGGATTTGGTGCCCTCCTACCTTAGGAATGTGAATCTCCTCTCTCTCTCTTATTTACTTTCTAAAGAAACTATATGTTTCAATCTTAAAAAAGTAAATAGAATAAAATAAAAATAAATAAATAAAATATATTTGCCTGTGAATTGTGGAGGTAGAGTCCAGTCTTCTACCAATGCTTTTTGTCTGCTGTTGTCCTATAAATGTCCTTACTAACTTCCAGGATTCAAGAAAAGAAGTTATGGTGTTTTCTTTCTTTTTTGAGTTGGAGTCTCACTCTATCACCCAAGTTGGAGTGCAATGGCAAATTCAGGGCCACCGTAGCCTCGATTTGCTGGGCTCAGGCGATCCTTCTACCGCAGTCTTGCAAGTAACTGGAGCTACAGGTGCACACCACTATGCCCAGCTAATTTTTTGATTTATTGCAGAGATGAGGTCTCACCATGTTGTCCAGGCTGGTCTCAAACCATGGACGCAGGCAATCCTCTCGCCTCCACCTCCCAAAGTGCTGGGATTATCTTATTTTCTATCTCTGAGAATCTTTTAAGGTTAAAGTTTCCTTTTCAAGTCCAAGCTTCTCACCATCATAAGCTGAAACTAAGCCCCTCAGAGTCATGAAACTTCTCTCTACACAGTTACCACTCAGTCCACATTGCCAACAGGCCCACAGAGAACCTGAGATTTTCTCACCTATATGTTTGGTTGACCGCAGGTTTCCCACCAGGGACACTTTCACTGAGTGTAGGAGATGTAGGGGAGGACTGACCAGAGCCCACAGATCCTGGTCGGAAAGATGTGCTCTTTTTAGCTACCTGCTTCCGTGATTGGGCAAGTTGGCTTTCCAAGCTTCTAGGAAATTAGAAAGGAGATTATATAGTAACGAATGCAAAAAGTGTAATATGAAAGAAACTGAAGAAAAAAGAATAGCACTCACTCACTGTCACCTGCTTGGGGGGATAGAGGTGGAGCAGGTGGGGCAGGCGGAGCTGTAGGCTGTGGGGGCTCCATTGGCTTGAATTGGGTTCCAGTACTGGTCAGGTCCTGTGTGTATTGGACAACAGGGCCTTTGCTCCTCACAGCACCTATAGGAAAAAGGCAATTGAACACTAAGAAGACAATAGCTGCAGTCATTCACACACCTGATCCTTAACGGATACAATATTACAATATAAAAAAAGCAGCAATGGAAACATTCTAAGTCTAAGACTATCGGTTTCTATTACTGACATCAATGAGGGGGAATGCTGGCATATGTTGGTTTGACTTAGATAAGACTTCTTTTTGTTTTTTTTTCCAAGGGAGAGTGCAAACACAGTCTCCCACTAACACAAACCATGCAGTTGAGTCTTCCACATTTGGGGAAATAACAAGAGTGAACACATTCAGAGTATGATGGATAAACCTTGTCCTGGGAAAACCACCCTTGTGATCATGGTATCTCCCCTGCCAGGTAAGTATAGATAAGACTCTTTTATTTTATTTTATTTTTTGAGTTGGAGTCTCACTCTGTCACCCAGACTGGAGTGCAATGGCTGCTCCTGGCCACCGCAGCCTCGACCTGCTGGGCTCCAGCGATCCTTCCGCCTCAGCCTTCCGAGTAGCTAGAACTACAGGTGCACCCTACCACGCCTGGCTGATTTTTTCATTTATTGTAGAGATAAGGTCTTGTCAAGTTGCCCAGGCGGGTCCCGAACCCGCAGGCTCAGGCAATCCACTCACCTCGGCCTCCCAAAGGGGTGGGATTACAGGCTGAGCCGCTGAGCCACTGAGCCCCGCTCACTTTAACTTTGAACTCCTGTGCTTCAAGCAGTCCTCCTGCCTCAGCCTCCCAAGTAGCAGGGACTGCAAGTACATGCCACCACACTTGGCTAATTTTTAAATTTTATTTTTTGTAGAGATGGGGTGTTGCTATGTTGCCCAGGATAGCCTCAAGCAATTCTCCCACCTTAGCCTCCCAACTGGATGCCTAGCCTTGGATAAGACTTTATATCATCCTGCCTCAGATGATTTATCTTATCAATTACATTATACTTTGAGGAATATTTTTCTTTCTTTATTTTTTTGAGTAGGAGTCTCATTCTATTGCCTAGGCTAGAGTGCAGTGGCACGCTCACAGCCACCACAGCCTTGACCTGCTGGGCTCAGGTGATCCTTCAGCCTCAACCTTTCAAGCAGCTGGAACCACAGGCGTATGTCACCACACCCAGATAATTTTTTGATTTATTGTAGAGATGAGATCTCATCATATTGTCCAGGCTCGTCTCGAACCTCTGGGCTCAGGCAAATCTCTCTCCTCTGCCTCCCAAAGTGCTAGGATAACAGGTGTGAGCCACCACACCCAGCCTAAGGAATATTTTTAAAAATGCATTTTTTTTTTTTTTGAGTTGGAGTCTCACTCTGTCACCCAGACTGGAGTGCAGTGGCTGGTCCCGGCCACCGCAGCCTTGACCTGCTGGGCTCTGGCAATCCTTGCGCCTCAACCTTCCAAGTAGGTGGAACTACAGGCGCACGCTACCATGCCCGGCTAATTTTTTGATTTATTGTAGAGATGAGGTCTCACCAAGTTGCCCAGGCGAGTCTCGAACCCGCGGGCTCAGGCAATTCACTCACCTGAGTCTTCCAAACTGTGGGATTAGGTGAGCCACTGAGCCTAGCTCGCAAGTCCTGTTTCTAATGAGTTAGTATTGCCACCCTGGTAAACAAAGGATAGCTACTGTATATAAATAACCACCTTTGCTGGTTTATACTGTTTCTTTCTTCCCCCAAGTATCTCTCTCTGTCTCTCTTTTATTTATTTTTTTGACTTGGAGTCTCACTCTGTTGCTTAGGCTGGAGTGCAATGGCACACTCACAGCCAACCCAGCCTCGACCTGCTGGTCTCTGGCGATCCTTCCGCCTCAGCTTTCCAAGTAGCTGGAACTACAGTTGTGTGCTACCACACCTGGCTAATTTTTTGATTTATTGTAGAGATGAGGTCTCACCATGTTGCCCAGGCTGGTCTCGAACCTGCAGACTGAAGCAACTCTCCGCCTCGGCCTCCCAAAGTGTTGGGATTACAGGCGCAAGCCACCACGCCCAGCCCCCAGTATCTTTCAGGACATACCCATATTTGGACGTGTCCTCAGCTGTCCTCCTTGCTTCTTTTCCAGTGCAGAGGCTGAGGATGTCTTCATGCTGAACATGGGCTCCAGCCGTGTAGAGCCTCGATAGATCCATTCACATCTTTTGTCATCCTGGGGGATTGGAGAAAAGGAAGATGGGGGAAACAGGTTAAAGTTAGAATCTATTCTGTCCTGTGTGGAGAATACATACCATGTGGCACCTCTGTAAAATCAAAAGATATATAATCAAAAGATATATAATTTGGCCGGGTGTGGTGGCTCAAGCCTGTAATCCCAGCACTTTGGGAGACTGAGGTGAGGGTATTGCCTGAGCCCACGGGTTCGAGAACAGCCTGGGCACCTTGGCGAGACCTCATCTCTACAACAAATCAAAAAATTAGCCAGGCAAGGTAGCGCATGCCTGTAGTTCCGGCTACCTGGAAGGCTGAGGTGAAAGGATTGCCGGAGCCCAGCAGGTTGACACTGGGGTGGCCGTGAGTGTGCCACTGCCCTCCAGTCTGGGTGACAGACTGAGACTCCAACTCAAAAAAGAAAAAAAGAAAGAGGAAAGCTATGGAACAGCTATGATATCATCCTTATTATTGCCTCTTAAGTCCCACCTATCCAGCCCACGCTGATCTCTGCCTCCAAAATTCTAGGGAAGAACAGTACCAGGAAGAGGATCCTGACTAGGCTGCCATCTACTTCCTCAACTCGGGACTTCCACCAGGTGCCTTCCCACTCGGTCTTGATAAGCTGGCCATTCTTAAGCAGCACCATGGGGCGGTTGGGGTAGGCGGTGATATACTCTTCTATGAAGTCTCGGCAGGAGATGTCTTCTACGTCCTCCCAAGTCTTTTTCACTATTTCAAGAAAGTAGAGCTGAGGGTGCTGGTAGAGAGTGTCTTAACTGGGAAAAATGTTTGGCAAGGAGACATTTGATATTTTTCAAGTTGGGAGGGAAAGAAAAAAATGAATTCATAATCTCAAGGGAAGCAAAGTCAAGACCACCTATGTAATAAACCTAATGTATAAGTTGCAAAAACTTACAAATCAAGTAAATACTAAAAGTCAAGTAAATATTGAATAAGTAATATATAAATATAGGTGATTCACTTATTTCATACAAATGGATATTTCTCCTTAGAAATTCATGTGGAAATTCTTGCTTACTTGTTGATATAAGTCTAGTGGTAATTTTTTTTTTTTGAGTTGGAGTCTCACTCTGTTGCCCAGACTGGAGTGCAGTGGCATGCTCATGGCCGCCATAGCCTCAAACTGCTGGGCTCAGGTGATCCTTCCCCCTAGGCCTTCCAAGTAGCTGGAACCAAAGGCATGTTCCACCACGCCTGGCTAATATTTTTACTTATTGTAGAGATGAGGTCTCGCCATGTTGCTCAGGTCTCGAACCCCTGAGTTCAGGCAATCCTCTTGCATTGGATTTCCAAAGTGCTTGGATTACAGGCTTGAGTCATCGCACCTGACCTCTAGTGGTAAATTTTAAAAGATCAGGTGGCATCATTAAATTAATTTTAAAATTTGTCCTTCTCATTCTCTATTAGGTTATTAAGGGACTCAGAATGTGTTCACGGCCATGTTATTCGTAAACACAGCTGTGTTAGTAGATTCTTTTGCAATTAAAAATGGTTGCTTTTGTAGGAGTCTGTCCCAAAGCCAGATAAACAAGTACAGAAGACAGCAGGAAGCTCTATCTAACCTAACTTCTGTAGAAAGCAATATGCAGCTTACAGATTTATGCAAATGTAAGTGCAGCATGAGATCAGGAAAGCAGTAACACCTTTCCTAACCTAACCCACTGAGAAATAAAATCGAAACACATCTATACATGAGCAGTCCATCCAAGGTCAATCATAATTTCCTAGTGTCTCACTTTTGTCTACAAAGACCCAGCCCTAGAGATAAACAACAAAGCTGTATCGCTCAAAGGACATCAACCAAACTTGTGCTCTTTGAGGCTGAAGCACCAAAAACACCAGGCTTTTCAACAGGGCATCTTAAGAAATACAAAGTGGAAGAGAAAATTGGTAGTGCTAAGGGAGAAAGGAGGAACACTCACATGGTCGGCAAATGGGATACAGTTCAGACTGTGTGACATAGGAAGCATAACCATCATCAAAGAAAATGAGAAACCTGTAAGGGAAAAAGGACAGCAGAAAGATCTGGGGGTTACGATATTTAACATGATGTACAGAAATTATTTTATCCTAACTTCCACTCCTTTGGATCACAACAGGACATACTCTAGGAAAGATATTCTAGTCTGCTACCTTCTTTCTGTTTTTCTTTCTTCCCCACCCTAAGATTGAGGCATTTTCCCTTAATCTAACCAACATATCCCTACTTTTCCAAAAACCATTTATTCTTGTTCCTCTATCAGACTCCTCTGCTGCTGCTAGCCATTTAGTCTCCACTTCATTTCTTCCTGCTACATAAATCCTCGATTCCCCTATTAATTAATCCTGATTAGTCTCCTCCTACTTTTCTCTTTGAGAAATGGAAAATTAAAGGAGAAAGAAGGAGCAAGAATCACTGACATGAGTCCTGTGGCAATGAAGAGAAAGGGTCTCTGGCCACTGAGGACTCAAAACACAAGAGCCAGTTGGGGATCTGGACTATGGCATGCATGGGGCAGATACTGTGCTCCCAGACTCTACTCTCTTTACACTCCTCTGTCCAGGTACCTGAACTTGTTTTTGTTGTTCGGTGTCTCAGCTACAATGCCAGCATAGAGCCAGACCTGATTTCCATCTTTGTATTTGGCCACCACCCGACTGCCCACATACAGCTTTTCAGCTGGAGGGTGGTAATCATAGGCAATATGGTTCCCCGACAGCAGACTCTTTCCTTTGTTGTCAAATTTCACCTTGTACTTCTTCCCTGGCCCTGAGTAAAAGGGAAAGATAAACAAATTTAAATAAACAAAGAAGAAAAAACAACAATTGTCAGTTTCTGTGTAAATCCTGGTTGCTAGGTGAGAGCCAAAAGAGAAGCTGTACGGAAAAGAAACCATCAGCAGTGGGGGTACGCAGGCTTCCTCTCATTAGTGCTTTCTCTAACTTGCACGTACCAACAGACTGAATGGCGATAAGGGTGCCTTTGTGCCATGTCTTAGTTCTCTTCTTGCCCAGAATCCGCATGCTGACTATCAGGTCACCATCTTTGCTTAGTTCTCCAGACATCTGACTCAAAGTTCCTAATAGAAGAAAGCAAAGTTATTTTACAGAGTTATGCCACAGATCACACAGACGTAGAGAATGAAAAGGTAAAGAGGGCAGTAGGGTAATCCGGGAAATGGGATAATTTTTGATCCTTAGCCACTTTTGCTGCTCTCCTGGCCAAAGGCAGAAACACAGAACACAGATAACTCAGCTGTTTTTTCGTCTTTTTTGAGTCGGAGTCTCACTCTGTCACTCACAGTCACTGCAGCCTTGACCTGCTGGGCTCAGGTGATCCTTCCACCTGAGCCTTCCAAGTAGCTGAAATCACAGGTGAGTGCCACCACAGCTGGCTATTTTTTTTTTTTTTTTTTGAGTTGGAGTCTCACTCTGTCACCCAGACTGGAGTGCAATGGCCGGTCGCAGCCACCGCAGCCTCGACCTGCTGGGCTCCGGCAATCCTTCTGCCTCAGCCTTCCAAGTAGCTGGAACTACAGGTGCGCACTACCACGCCCGGCTCATTTTTATTTATTGTAGAGATGAGGTCTCGCCAAGTTGCCCAGGCGGGTCTCGAACCGGTGGGCTCAGGCAATCCACTCACCTCAGCCTCCCAAAGACACGGGATTACAGGCTGAGCCACCAAGTCCAGCTATTTTTTATTTTTATTTATTGTAGAGATGAGGTTTCGCCAAGTTGCCCAGGTTGGTCTCGAACCCAGGGGTTTACAGAATCCTCTTGCCTCTACCTCTCAAAGTGTTGGGATTATAGGCGTGAGCCACCAGGTCCAGCAACTCAATTGTTTTTGGTAGCAGGAGAAACTTTAATAGCTGAAGTCCCCATGTAATCCAAGAACATCTCCCTGCCGCCTTTTAATGGAATTGGAGTCTCTTTCATTGCCCAGGTTGGAGTGCAATGGCACACTCACGGCCAACACAGTCTCGACCTGCTGGTCTTAGGCGACCCTTCCGCCTCAGTCTTCCAAACAGCTGGAACTACAGATGCACTCCACCATGCCCAGCTAGTTTTTGTGATTTATTATAGAGTTGAGGTCTCATCAAGTTGCCCAGGCTGGTCTTGGACCCCCGGGTTTGGGTGATCCACTCGCTTTGGCCTCCCAAAGAACTGGGATTACAGGCTGAGCCATCGCGCCTGACTGAACATCTACCTTTTTTTTTGAGTTGGAGTCTTACTCTGTTGCCCAGGCTGGAGTGCAGTGACACACACCCAAGCCCAGCTTGAACATCTACCTTTAACTAGATGTTTCCAAATTCTTTTTAACAGCAATAGTAAATACCACTCATTAAATGCTAAGTAACATTTATAAAACATTTTCCTGCAGGGTTTCTATCAATAGCCCCATTCTACAAAGCCTCCCTCAGACTCCCTTATAAAAGAGTTGAAGTAGCTGGGCTCGGTGGCTCAGCCTGTAATCCTGCGCTTTGGGAGGCTGAGGTGAGTGGATTGCCTGAGCCCGCAGGTTCGAGAG